GCCTCCGGGGGTCGGGGGCAGGGTGAAGCCCCCGGGGTTCCTCCGAGGTTAAAGGAAGTCTCCCGGGCCGCCCGAAGCCCGCCGGGGAACTTTCTCAGCGCCTACAGCCCCCTGGAGCGCCCCTCGAGTCCCCCCAGAGTCCGCACTGCCCGCCAAGCACTGGATTGCAGTGCCAGCCCTCCGCGAGGCTGTCCCGAGAACCTGCTTGGAGGTCCAGCCAGACCAGTATTGCCCTGTGGTCCCCAGGTCTGGGATGGCATGGCTTCAAGTCCGATGACATTGCTGCCACCCCTGGCAGGGCTGAGGAGGGCGCAATCAGGTCACCTCACCCAGTGTTGGGAGGTGCTGCGCTGATCAGGGTAGGCGGGTGGGCCACATTGTCCAAATGAACAAGGGCCTACCAGAGGCGTATTTACCTGGAAGCGCATGAAGTTCAGCATCAGCATGTTCCAGTTGCTAACGCCACAGTTGGTGTAGTTCATGGTGATCAAGTAGGACAGGCTAGAACTACCCCGTGTGGGTTCCGGAGACTGTACCCCTCTCAGGGAGTAGAAAGTGGCTGCTGGGTTGGAACGGCTGACCTGGCCGGTTAGCAGTCCCACGGGCAGCCCACCAGACCACGGCGAATTGGAATTGACTTGATTGATAGCAGTGAGTTTGGCGGAGTTTGTTTCGTTTTAGTGGCATAGTTATTCAGAGCTCACCTCCTGCCTGAAAGATTAGTGCTTCAAACGTATCGACCGCTCCTCTAGAGAAAGATGCTGCGACAGACAGTTCCCATAAAGATGACAGTTTTGGAAACTGTGGGGAAGTTTTACTCTCTTCTCCCAAAACAAAACCAAACTCACTGCCATGAGGTCAAGTGTGACTTGCACGGACCCTGTAAGACAGAGTAAAACTGCTGCCGTGGGCTTCTGAAATGATAACTGTTTATGGGAGTAGAAAGTCCTATCTTTCTCTCGTGGAGCAGTCGGTGATTTTGAACTGCTGACCTTTTGGTTAGCAGCCCAACCAACATGCAACCTCTTCTGCCATGGAATTGACTTACGAAAAAAGGGCTTGGTTTCGTTAACCTTGTATTGCTTTTCTTCAAACGAGCTTTCTTGGCTTCACAAAATCTTGATCCATCCTGGGTCTAGTTTGCAAACTCCCCATTCCCATGGCTAATCTTTTAGGCAGCAACAGGGAAAGGCGCTATTTGCCTGGCCTTCCCCTCTGGTCCCCCCAATCTTTGGTCTCACTGTCCTACCCCACTATGGGGATTGCTTGTCTGGTTTGCTGGGTATTGTCCTGGTTTTAAGAAACCCCTCATCTGGGACAATTGGTCAGCCTATACACATAACCTTCTCAGGCTTGTTGTGCAGTGCTGGGCTGGCCTTCTTGGGGGAGACTTGTTTTCTGGCGTGCAGAATTGATCCAGGCTTCCACAAAACCTAACCACTTATGACCACAGTTTCTGAGAAGGCCTGTCCCTGGTTCCTCAGAACCCCAAAGAAGTCTACTGACTGCGCATTCAAGCTGGTTGCACACTCTTGTACAGCGGCTGCGTGGGACAGTGCAGGGCACCTGAACTTGGCCAGGAGGCCTGCTGCAAGCCTATAGATTCACTCCGTCATGTCCTGTGTGGTGGCCACAGGGAATGGGGCACTTGTCCCCTCAACTAGCTCTCTGTGAGGCCACCTTTGAGATAGGTGCTCTGTGTGTTGGGAGCAGGGCCCCTCAAGCGGAGGCAGCTGAGACCCTGGTAGCTTCCAAGGCAGTGTCCTGGAATATCTGGGCCTATTCCCCTTACCACACCCACCCGCCATGAAGGAATCCTTCTTCCTCAGGACTTTCCTGCCAGCTGCAGCGACAAACTGCTGGGACCTGCCCAGAAGTTTGTACGGCAGCCAGTAACACCCGCTTTCTTCTCACTGTGACCTTGGAGGCTGATAAACTGGCCCCCATCTGCTGTCCTCAGAGGCATTTCCAGAGCATCCTGGAGCACTCTTGGCATTGTTGAAGTGTGAACAAGCTCATCACCTGTGGAATGTGTTGGGTAAAAGCTCCCTCTCCTGCCTCAGGGGAGCTGGGTGTGTCTTTGAACTTGGAAGCATCTTGGGTGGGGATGAGCCTAGGGGTAGAGCTACTTGCTTGCCTAGCAACTACCTCTGAGCTGAAGGGAGGCCGCCAGACTGAAAGTGTCTCAAGCATGCCTCTGTAAACCCAGCAGGTCCCCTCCTGGCATGGTGTACAAGTCACCCAAACCCTGTGGGACTTCTAGGCAGTTTTGTAACCTACCTAAGAACGCCCTTCTCCAGACAGGCATAGGTGTAGAGAAAGCAGCTGGTGGGCACAGCAGCCCTTAGTCCCCAGTCAGCATCCTCACTGACCTCTGCAGCCCCCTGCTCAGGACCCCAGGCCTGCTGGGAGCACAAGGGGCCTGAGTCTTCATGGGGATGCCAGTCATGTGACTGCTAACTGAGCACCTTAGAGGCTGGCGGGAGCTAGTGTTAAGACCAAGCGTCCCAGGGTGGGCACAACATGTGGTCAAGGAGGAAAGCAACCCAGGTGGTTGGGGGCCTGGTTTGTGAATAAAAACCAAGCCCCAGAAGTAAGAAGAAGTGGCCCCTGGAGGTTGGCAGTCAGGTTGTATCCTTTAGGGGGTGAATGTCGCCAGGTCACTCAGAGGTTTCTATATCAGGAAGCTGGCCCTTCAGACCCTGCACTAACTACACTGTCATGCCCCCAGCAAGCTGTAGTGAGGGTCTGGCACAAAATGTACCAATGTGCTCTGATGGCAGGGCCAAAGCCTCCCTCAGACCTTCAGGATACGACTCCAGCTGCAGTGGCGAGAGAAGAGAGAGACGAGAGAGAGAGAAAGAGAGAGAGAGAGAGAGAGAGAGAGAGAGAGAGAGAGAGACAGAGAGAGAGATCAAGCCCACAGTCCTGAGGGATGGCGAGTCTGCGCAAAATGATATATTTAACATCAAATATACTCAAAGACTATTAGGATTAAGTATTCAAGATGAAGGGAAAGTAAAACCCTCTGAGCCGCAGATGAGGCAGCTCATTAGAAACAGCTTCTCTTCTGTTTTCTCAAAGCTTGCCTTCTCAAAGCTGTCTCCAAGAGGGGGAGACTGGACTGCAGGCCCCCTGCTCCTCCGTCCCCCCCCTACACACAAGCACCCCTGCATTGGGGCCTCCTACAGCTTAAGGGGCAAGGCCTGGCCTCTGGGTCTCCTTTGTACCCAATAATCCCCCCATTGTCCAGGGCGACACAGTGTGCAAAGCACAGTCACATGTATTATCTCATCTGATCCTCACAGCAACTTTGGGGACAGGCGAAGAAGGTCTCCCACTTTACAAACAGGGAAACTGAGGCCCAGAGTGGGAACGTGGCTTGTCCAGGGCCACTGTTGATGCCTGGCAGAGAGGAGAGTCCTAGCTCATGGACCTGCACCCCTTTGGGACCTCCAGCCTCCAACACAGCTGTCTGGACTGGGGCCCTCCTTGGACGAGAACGACATCATTACGATTTCTATCCCATCCTAGTACTTACTCTGTACTGTCAAGGAAGGCAAGCTCTCTTGGGATTTGAAAGTGGGTGGCCTTTCTGAAGTAGACAGGCAGTCAGAACCAGGGCTCTGGGGAAAAGCAAGGGCCAGGAATGGAGGAGGTGGGCACAGTTGCACCTCCAGCTCACGAATACAGAGCAAGAGTCATCCACTCTGTAGTAGTGGCAAGGCAGGCATCTTTGTTTTGCTCCCTTGGGTATTCCCAGGGCCTAGCACAGTGCTTTGGCACCTAAAACCTGCTCGATGAATATTTGTGGAATGAGAAAAACCCCTCAGACTGAGATGGGGGGTCTGCTAGCTCAGATTCCCTGTTTCCATGGACGCAGGATGCTCTTAGAAGGCTGTTGGGGTCTGGAGTAGCGCCTCAAGACTTGTGTGTGTAGGTGGAGGGGGGGTGTCCCTGTAGACAGTTGGCTTTACCATACAATCCGGGATGCAGGCAGAAACCCTGGACAGAGCGAGTAACAAGGGAGAGAAAGGACTCCGAGAAAGATAACCGAAGCGGGTGGTGCGGAAAGCAGAGACTGAATGGACTGGGAGTAACAGATCTGGACCAACCTCCAAGCTCCGGACCCCAGGACCGGAACGCGCCGAGCGGCCTCCAGGTGGCGCTGCGGAGCCGGGCAGCCTTCCGCCTCCACTCCCCTTTACCCCGGGAGAAGGGGGGCCCTGCTCGGGAAATGTGTGCGTTTATTCAGTAGCAGGCGTGCAAACCTCCTACATTGAGGGAGAAAGGCAGCGGGAGACGGCCGCCGAGATTCCCCCGTCTCTCTGAATATAATTTTAGATTGAGATTCAGATTAAATCCGAGGGGAAAACACTTTAGGAGGCTGAAAGCTGTGTCGTTGCCAGAGCCAGGGTTATGAGCTATCAAATGCAATTACATTAAGACAGATTATACTGGGCAAATTGAGCCATTTAGAAGGTGAGAATCAAAGGAAGGACTCTGATCCTCTCCCCTCGCCACCCCCCACCCCCCGCCTTCTTTCTCTCTCTCTCTCTCTCTCTCTCTGTCTCCCCCGTTCTCTCCCCCTACCCCCCCTCTAAATTGCAGTTCGTAGTTCCTTGCAATTCTGAGGCACAAAAGTAGGGGAGACTGCTTTTGTAGCTGCGAAGTGCTTCACTCCTGACTGTAATTCTAGCCGAGTGCAATCCGGGCTAAGAGCTGGACAAGCGGGTAATTAGAGCCCGCCCGCCGCCCGAGGACCGGCCGCCCCGCCGGAGCGCGCCCGGAGTCGGCGCCCTTCTCCCGGCCGAGCCGAGCTGCGGCTGCACTCGGAGTGCCCGCGATGATGGTGCTGGACAAGGAGGACGGTAGGTGGCGGGGCCGGGGTCCCGACGCCCCCACCCCTGGCCCCCG